TGAGACATTATGCATGAATCGAGTTCTCATGAGAATCTATTTACGTTATCTTCATTTAATTTTCTTGAAAAGATGTTGATAATTTTGATGATCTGAATTTGAATAAGTTTTATCAAAATCATGATCTTGGTTTATTAGAATTACTTGAGATATTTTTTTTAATCAAGATCTCTTCTTTGTACTCTTATGATTTTTCTTGGTATTTTACCAAAGAAGAGATTTTCTATGTGAATCATAATATTTTATATGCATGAATTGATGTATTGTTCTCCTGTAAGATTAAATGAATTTTAACTATATCATGATCTCCTAAGAATTCTTTTCGTTAATTATTTAAGAGGAGATTTATTAAAATGGATCATGGTTTCTCTTGATTTCTCGAATTTTAGACTTGATTTTTTATTTTTGATGATTGAAATAACGATTGAAACATTGATGATATGAATGCATGAAATACTCATGAAATTGTTTTGATGCTCTAAAATGATATAAATTTGCTAGCTTATGAGTATCATGTATGATATGATGATTAATTTATTTTTAGTATCATGCATAGAGTAAAGATGATATGTAAAGTTTTAAAATTGTGCATGTTGTAAATTGAAACTATAATGAAGTACAAACATATTGAAATAATAATTAAAACATTAATATAATTATAAATGATGATTTGATATTATACATACAATACTTCAACTTATGATAATGATGCATGCAATGATAAAATATTCATGTTGAAAAATTATTTTGACATTTATAACTTGATTTTTCATCTTTGATTATTCATCCTTTATCATGATTTGAAAATTTTTGTAAAAGAAAAAAGAGATATAAAATTATATTCTTTCCTTCTTTTTTATAATGACAAAGGGGGAGATAGCTAGCTTGCACAAGTCAAGAAAATACAAAAACTTGCTTGCTTGCTTACACATCTAAAGAGAAGATGCAAACATACTTCATGTAGCTTGTTTCATGTAAAACATTGTATCTTGCTAGCTTGTTATCTTATATTATTTTTAAAAACTTGCTAGCCTTCATACTTCAAAGAGAAGTAACACTTGCCAAATTGCTAGCTTGAATATTATAAAATAATGTAAAATTTTGCTAGCTTGCACTTTGCAAAGAAAACAAAAATGGCACTTCTCAAAAGAGAAGAAAGAGCTTGCTAGAACATCACTGTCTTGCCAATATCAAGAAGCAAAACTTGCAACTTGCACATTGCAATAGGAAGCAAGAATCGCTAGCTTACACACTTCAACAAGAAAGCTATCTTGCATTTGCTTTTGAAATATTTGCTAACTTGTATGTTGTAAACTTGCTATCTTACTACCTTGTATATCTAAAACTTGATAGCTTGCATGATGTAACACTTGCTAAATTTTCTAGCTTACAAATTGCATAATGATAAAACTTGATATTATGTTTTTTATGCAATGATTTGAACTTATATCTCAAACACTTGATAGTTGGAACTTCTCCTTTTTGTTGATGGCAAAGGGGGAGAAGTATGATCATGTTATTCATGATGACGTGTTGCAAATATTCATGATGAAATTTGCAATGACTTGAATTCAGCTTGAATTCAAGGTTCTATCAATATGGCATATTGATAGGGGGAGTTAAGGCTAACTTCATCATCAATTGATTATCATCTTCAAAAAGGGGGAGATCGTTGAATCTCGGATTTTGATGATGAAACCAACTGATAAGTGTTTATGATTTGATCTACGTTTTGAGTGACGCGGGATGGTTCATTCAGGGAGAGACAATTAAAGCATAAAGAATCATATTGGATCGGAGGAAAACATGTTAGAAGATTGGACGACGGGCCAGAGGATCGATCGACATATTGACAGAAGGCTTCGGGCCATGGATTCAAGTATCGAGCCAAGAAGAGCAGAGATTGCGCTAAAGATATCAGAGTTGCAGAGGTCAACTGGCCGATTGGGCAATAGGCCATAAGAGAGGATGATGCGCCGAAGAATCAAACGAAGCGTCGATGGACCAATGACATGCCGGATGACATGATTCATGCTTAGTAATAATTGTCTAGATCGAAGCATGTTTTTATGTGTGAGGATTAACTACGATAGCAAGGTATAAAGAAAAATAAAGTTTCAGAGTCAAGAACGCGATTTCATTGGGAGTTCAAGAGTTCGTCAAAAGTTTGAACATTTGTTAGAAGTTCTACCGGAACCAACCGAGAAGTCCAGGAGCTTGCCAAAGAAGCTCATCGAAATTCACCAAGAAGATCATCGTGAAGTCCAGGAGCTTGCCGGGAGTCTACCGGAACATTGTCGAGAGATCGTAGGAAGTTCCCCGAAAGATCGCCGGAAGCTCACCGGAAGAAATCGAACTTATCTTGCTTTGAATATGTCTTAGGAGTCGTAGTTAGCACATAATTAGAGTGAGATTGGGAGGTAATCCTATCAATTCTGTTAGGAGCCAATTGGGCCCAAACTTGGGCTGGTTTGGGCCGGATTCAAGGCCCAACTAGGGCACTGAAAGCCTGGCCAACCGTGGCACCGCCTAGGGAACAGCACCCTAGGAATTCTGGGCGATGGTACCGCCGATAGTGAATACTGCCAATGGTGGTACCACCCCTGTCAAGCGATGGTACCACCCAATGGCAGATCCTACGGCGGTAGTGCCGCCCAAGAACGACGGTGGTACCGCTAGTACCCAAGAAACCTAGGATGAGAGCTTTTTAGGCTCTGAGTTTAAATCAACTTGAAGCCTATAAATACCCTTATCATCCCTGGTTAACTAACACAAGCACAGAGAATTTAAAAAGGAAAAAACGTTGTTGTAATATCTTCTGAGAATCCTCCTCTTCTAGTCTAAGTGTTAGAATAGTTTGAGAGAGGAGTGAGTGCTTGTAAAGGTTGTCTCCTAAACCCGTGAAAAGGAGAAGAGGGGTGTAAGAAGGAGGTTGATCTTCACCTATTAAAGAAAGATTGATAGTAGATGCCGATGGCCTCGACGGAGTGGATGTAGGTTACGACGACTGAACCATTATAAAACTCGGTTTGTATTTCTATTTGAGCAATTTATCTTTATTGCAATCTTTACTTGCTTATTGCTTCCAATACATTTACGAATGTGTTTCAAGTTAAGATTTTTACGAAATAATTTTCGTCGGAATCGATTTTAACGTACGAAGATTTTCGAACCGACATAATTTTTACTACTATACTCATTCACCTACTCTCTTAGTGCCGACTCGTTCTAACAGTATTACCTCCGTCCCTTGTCACCACCCTACCGTGGCCTTCTCTACCCCTCATCGCTACCTAGCTCCTCCGTCCTATGGTCATCTCATCACCTCCACTGTATTGTGGGCCGCCTTCGCCACTATGAGGTCCCTCATTGTTCTTCTCGCCACCTTCACTCCTCTGCTTTGTCATCTTTGCCCCTCCACATGGTTGATACCTTTATCCATGAGGCCTCTTCGTGTAAAGTCTTAGCCCCGTCTTGTGAAGCTTTCGTCCTTAGTGTTAACTACTCCCCCTGCTATCGTTCGTGTCACCCCTCCACCGAGGACAAAGGACAAGAAGGAGAGAGACTACGTGACCACTAATAGCACAAGAGGAGACAAGGCAAGGGTGTCTAAAGGGAGATATGAGGTGGAAGTAGAGAGTATATAACTTTATCTCATTGCCATTGTCCGTGATGCCCACATCCTCACCTCACCATCGTGCCCCTTAGTTAAGTCTTCATCATCTTTCTATATTACCTTAGTAAAGCAGTAATGTAGCTTGACCCCCGCTTCGATCCCACCCACACATAGGCTCGTGACTACAAGTGTCACTCTCCCTCAACTTCATCTTTATCATCTCTTACCTCCTTATTATCCTCCTTATTTTTAGATCATTCGAAACATATTATTAATCAGACAAGTGCTTCATGATGGTAGGGCTACAGCTGTAAAAGAAGGAAGCAACCACACGCATAATCTCATCTATTAAAAAATAAAAAAATATATTTAAGAAAAAATAAACAATTAAAATTTTGCCCTTAATAAACTTCAGGATATACCTTTAGGTTCTTTACTCGAGGCATTTATGTGTTGGATCCGAAAATTCTTGAGGGATGAGTCTGACGTTGATTTGATATTTCTGTTCCTACCCGGATGGAGTCAACTCTCACCACCTTAGAGGAATTACGAGAAAGACTACCAGAGACATTATTCTGCTCAAAAGTTTATTGCTTGTTGTCATCATAAATGCTAAGGGATAATAGTGGGTTTCTCTTCCATACCAGTTCCCCCCCCCCCCCCCCCCCCCCCCTTTTTTTTTTTACAAGATTCTGATTGAGAAATAGATGTTTCATTGTTAATTAAACAAAATAGATTTATAAGAGTTGACTAATCTAAAACACATGAACCTAACTCACTTTAGTTTGTCAATTTAAGATTTAATTTAATCTTATAATGCTAATTTATTCGATTCTTATTGCAGTCTCCATCACTCACATTTTACTAAAAGAAGATTGACTAATCTTCTCGTAAGTGGTCAACTGTTCCCTAAAAAAAAGAAAGGAAAAAGAAAAAGGGGACAGTTTTATCTCCACAGTGAAAAGTCAGATGCACATTACAGATCACCCACATCTCTTTGATTCAAGAGAACTTGCTCAGGTCTATGAATTCATCAGCACTTGGACGTAGTAATATCCAATTATTTGTTAATTTGTGTACTGTTGCAAGGTCCGAAGAATATCATCGTTAGATCGATGCCCCTACTGAATACCTGCATGTATTAAGATGGTAGGTAAGCTAAACAAGTTGACTTGGCCATGGAAGTTAAACCTGCACAATCATTATGCCTATTAGAAGCAGACATATTTCATCATATATTATATAGCTTTGTTTTATATATTATCATCACCATCAAGTTTGAATTTCAACATTTGATGTTTTTACTATTTTTCAAAAATCAAAATATACTACTTAAACGTCAGAAACACAAAAAAAATCTATGTAGATCTGAGTACAGAAAAAGGATACTAGTGAGAGGGCCACTCCACTCTCCAAAACGGTGCGGATCACTTCAACATTTGATTCTTCTTCAGCAATTTGAGTTCATAATGACAACAGCAGTTAGTCCGTTTTTTACGATTTTTTTTCCGTCGGCTGTCTCACAATCCGCTCCCAATCCACGATCTCCTAGTCCGCTCGCTGCTGTTGGCGGATTTGCTGCCGTCGACGGATTCGCTGCCGTCGGGGATTATTTTGGCCACCCTTTCCCTGTTTCCTCTCTGCGCCCTCTCCCCTGTCGTCGACGGCTTCGCGTCGGTTTCCCACCACCGTTCACTCAGAGCCTTCCCTGTTTCCTATCCTGCCACCTCCCCTGCCTCCTATAGTTGACGTCGTTCCCTCACGACGGCTGTCGATTCTCGCCGTCATTCCCCCACGCCCATGTCCTCCACCCCTCCTGCTCTTGTGCTCCAACCCCAACCAAGACGTGCCCCGTGAGCGCAGGTCCTGGGCGGCGATCACCTTGCCGTGAAGAGCCATTGGATTACAGTAGCACATGTGCTGCAGGTCCTGGGCGGCGGTCACATCGCCGTGGAGAGCCATTGGGTTGCGACCTTGTGCTGTTGCAACCAGGTAGGTGTGGCTTTTGTTAGGCGATGCCACTGCGCCATGAGAGCAAGAAAACAGGAGACAAACAAGGAGAGCAAGCACACTTTACCTGGTTGGGGATTCGGGTGGGTTGATGAGGGTGCAAGCCTTCCTGAAGGGGGAGGTGATGGTGCGAACCCAAGAACCCATTGCTGAAAGCGCAAGGAGCATTCAAATACCTTGGCTATGATGGAAGAACTCCATGAGGTAATTCTGGTTTCCTTTCTTCGATTTTGGGTTGTGATATGTGAAGGAAGATCTCATATGTAATATGGAATTCTATGTTCTCATGTACTTTTACATCTGCCGATCAGAGGATGGTTTTTTGTATTATAGAAGTTCCAACATTTGTGTTCTCAACTTTTTTAAATTTACAGATCTATATATGAGACTCATAACAAAGTTATCTTCTTGTGTTTTCAACTTTTTTGGATTTATACATTTGATGACACCAAGAATGTTGTCATATTAGAATGGTGCACATCTGGTTATTTAATGCAACATATAAAGTAATGACTGTATATAGCACACTGATACTTCATCCCTTGGTGTTTTATATAATTCAGAAACTCAGAAATGCCAGAGAAAAGGGAGCAATTTCTTAGGAAGAAGATGGCTGCTGAGGTTGAGAAAGCTAAGGAGTTCACCAGAGCAAACAACAAGAGAGGTGAGCATTTATGATGCTGATGGTGTTTGTTGGTCGAATGTTCTATCTACATATGGCTTTTCATGATACCAAAACTATGTCATAAATGTTTCTAAGAGAAAAAAATTGTCTCACAGGTCCCATAAGGATATGATATATGTAACATGTTTTTTTCTTTTTCTATAGAAACTCATTCATATCTGTTATGCAAGTGCAATCTGATAGCTATTTCTGTGTCTTCTGCGTCTGAGAAACCCAGGGTGCAAAGGATGGATGTCGTTAGTTGTTTACCAAACACATCTTGGGATCAATCCTTGTTTCACTGTTGGTTATCAAGATTAAAATATTAGGATATGTTGATATTGCCTTTTTTTGTAAATTTGAGTTTATTTTATCTTATACCAATTGCAGCTGCTATACAATGCTTGAAGACTTCATGAGCAAGAAGTTGACACGCTTGGGAACTACCAATTGCAGATTCATGATCAGGTTTCTTTTAGTTAAAGATGGTATTTGATAGGGGGGTCACCATAGAGTCAACGGGAACACGGACTGTGACGCCAACCATCCCATGGTTGGACAATCGAAGTGACTCCCCTCAGGGAGTAATGGCGACACAACATGCCACGACACCATCCGCGCGTGGCCCGCACCCTGCCCGAGTGAACGGCCATTAACGCTGACCCGACGTCGTCAAAACCACCCTCTCTCAGTAAGCGGCTCCGTCGCCCATACCCTGCACGTTCACCCAAACGCAGAAGGCGACGACCGAGGCCGCCCATACCCTGCGACAGGATGGTCCGCCACGCGGCCCTAATGGCGATGTCAAATCCAGCCAGAGGCACGACCCTGCTCTGACAGGCAGGAACATCAGGTAGTATCAGACCCAAACTATAAATAGTCCAGAGCCCAAAAGGTAAAGGGGGACAACAACACGAGTTCTACACACAGAAATCCTCTTCTCGTCCACTAATTAGACCGTCGGAGGGGTCGGGCCGAAGATACGGTCCGACCTTTGTGCAGGTACACGGCGACCGCGTTACCAGGACGCTGCAACTAGCCATCTCCGAAGACCACGCCCCGATCGGGTGGCCGCGAGCGCTTCCCCAAAGACGTCAAGAAGCTCTACCTGTGATCCTCGGCATCCGGACCCCTGAACCGAGCCGTACCGCCCCGAGGTCACGGCTTAAACAGGTGCAGACCGCATCAGATTGGCGCTAGAAGGAGGGCCCGAATGTCGAGCGATCCTCATGCCGACTCCGTCGGACCCGTCGCCCACGGAGAAAGAGAAATGCCGACGTCAACGCCGGATCGTTATTGGCGCCTGTTCAACGACTTAGGGATGCCACCCCCATTACCCGCGGTCGGCCCCCCGGCCGTACCGCCCGAGGCGTTTTTCGCCCTCGCTAAGCAAGTACAGGGAATAGCGGAGATAATGCAGATCGTTGTCCCACTTATTTCCGAAATCAGGCGACTGACAGACGCCTCCGCCGACCCAACCCAACAAAGGCCGAGCACGGGACAGGATGCAACCGGTGAAACCCGAGACGGGGCCGTTCACCACGAGAGTTCGTCCACACGCGCTTCTCCCGCACCCTCCCGAGCCGCGCGACGTCGCCCTGAGCCTGACTCCGTATCATCCGACTCGGCAGACAGCTTCATTAAGGTACAATTCTCCCAAGTCAACCGTCGCCTGGACGAATTCCGACGTGAGCTCCAGAAGTCACGGGACGAATCAAACGAGGGCACCTCGGGTGGATCCCCTTTTGTTCAGGAAATACAAGAGAAACCTGTTCCCCTCAACTTCAGGGTGCCGGCCCTAGAAACATATGACGGCGGCTCCGACCCAGCGGAGCATGTCGCCGCGTTCAGGACTCAGATGGCCCTCTACGGCACGTCCGATGCACTAATGTGTCGTACATTCCCGACCACCTTCAGAGGACCAGCACGCGTATGGTTTAGCCGGCTGCGCCAATCCTCATTCACATCTTTCGACCAGTTCGCCAAGGAGTTCGAACAAAGCTTCCTTACCAGCGCGCGGCCTCGGCCTCCCATAGCCGCCCTGCTGGCGCTATCACAGCACGAAGAGGAGACGCTCACACAGTTTGTAACACGCTTCGCCGCGGAGATCCGCGGGTATCCGGATACTCACCCTTCTTTGATCATGCAGGCGTTCCTGACGGGGCTGAAACCCTCGAGGTTCTTCTGGTCACTAATTGAGAAGCCGCCGGCCACTGTCCCTGAGATGCTCCACCGTGCCAACCAATACGTCGCCGGCGAAGCGTTGGCAGCAGGAAGACGCACGGTCGGGAAGAAACCGCGGATCGAGCAATCCCGAGCCGCCACCTCGTCGGTCGACCCGCAACCCCGTCGGAGGCTCGACCATCCCGAGCAGCGGCTCCCGAGGCCTCCGCCCCTCCCACTCAACACGCCTCGTACCGAGACCTTCCTCCAGATCAGGGAGAAAGGTCTTTTGCGGCCCCCCAATCCCATGAGAGCTACTTACAAAAATCGGTCGAAATACTGCAGGTTCCATCGAGACCATGGCCATGACACAGAGGACTACTACCCGCTCCCGAGGATAGATCAGTTAGTCGACGCCACCTCGGGTTGCGAACTCCTTACCTTCTTGGACGCATACTCGGGCTACAACCAAATCCACATGGCACCAAAAGACCAAGAGAATACCGCCTTCATCACCGACAGAGGAATATATTGCTACAAGGTGATGTCGTTCGGCCTAAAGAACGCTGGGGCAACCTACCAAAGGATGGTCGACAAGCTGTTCAAACGCCAAATTGGCAGGAACATGGAAATATATGTGGACGACATGATCGTAAAGAGCAGAACCGCGGAGGCGCACCTGGCCGACTTGGCGGAAACCTTTCAGACCCTCAGACGATTCAATATGCGCTTGAACCCCGCAAAGTGCATCTTCGGGGTTAGCTCGAGAAGATTCCTCGGCTTCGTCATCCACCAGAGGGGAATAGACTCCAACCCGGAAAAGGTACGGGCCATAACCCGGATGCACTCGCCCCGCTCCGTCAAAGAGGTACAGTGCCTCACGGGGAAGCTGGCGGCGCTCAGTAGATTCATATCCAGGTCAGGCGACAGATGCCTGCCCTTCTTCCAGGCCCTGCAACAAGTCAACAACTTCACCTGGACCCCCGAGTGCGAGGAAGCTTTTGAAGACCTAAAGACGTACCTTACCCGCCTGCCCCGACTCGCTTCCCCTGAGCCAGGGGAAACCCTGGACCTTTACCTAGCGGCGTCAGCGCGAGTAGTCAGCTCGGTACTGGTCCGAGAAGCACCGCCGAAGCAGCAGCCTATCTATTACGTCAGCCACGTCCTCGCCGGAGCCGAGGCGCGGTAACCCCCTATCGAAAGGCTGGCTCTGGCGTTGGTACAGACAGCGCGAAAGATGCGCCCATACTTCCAGTCCCACACAATCAAAGTCGTCACTGACCAGCCGCTGCAGAAAATCCTATCCAAGTTTGACGTGTCAGGCCGAATGTTACGGTGGTCGGTCGAGCTCAGTGAGTTCGACATCCAATACTCTCCTCGGAACGCCATCAAAGCCCAGGTACTGGCCGACTTCATCTCTGAATTAACGCCCGAGGATTGTGCAGATGGACGGAAGGACACCGACCGCGCGTGGACCCTGCACGTCGACGGCTCCGCCATCACCGGCGCAGCCGGAATCGGCCTCGTCCTTAGAAGCCCTACTGGAGAAACCTACGAGAGGTCCATCCGACTGCAATTCCAAGCCACTAACAACGAAGCCGAGTATGAGGCGCTACTACATGGCCTACGCCTCGCCTTGGAGATGCAGGTAGACAACCTCGAGGTATTCAACGACTCTCAGCTGGTGATAGGACACGTGAATGGGAGCTACGAGGCCCAGGACCCCACAATGGCATCATACCTGGCGGAAACGTAGCAGCCCGCCCGCCTCTTCAGCCGGTTCTCAATCACGCAAGTGCCCCGGGCCCAGAACGCATCAGCCGACGCCCTGGCGAAAGCAGCCTCCGCACGGGGTTTAGAAGAAACCTCCGTGACCGAGCCCATAGCGGCACCAACCATACCATCCTGCGGCGTCGTCGAGACTCGAACCCCGCCCAACTAGATGGAGGAGATACTCTGCTTCAAGACAGATGGGACGGAGCCCGACGACCCAACGACAGCAAGACGACTAAGGCGAACACAGGCCTGGTATAGCTTAGTCAGTGGGAAGCTGTACCACAGAGGTTTCTCAGAGCCCCTCTTGCTCTGCCTCGCACCACCCGAGGCCAACACCGTCCTCGCCGAGCTTCACGAGGGAATTTGCGGGGAGCATATCGGGGGTCGGACCTTGGCCTTCAAGGCCCTCCGACAAGGATACTACTGGCCAACGATGCGCCGAGACGCCGCATCATACGTGCAACAATGCCAACCGTGCCAACAGCACGCCAGACTGCAGCATCAACCGGCGATCCCTCTCAACCCGATGGAAATCGCTTGGCCCTTCGCCCAGTGGGGACTCGATCTCCTCGGCCCCTTTCCTCCGGCTTCGGGGCAACGACGTTTCCTCATTGTCGGGGTTGATTATTTCACAAAATGGGTTGAAGCCGAACCCTTGGCCTCCATCACCGAGAAGCAAGTTCAAAGCTTCACGTGGAAGAACATCATCACTCGGTTCGGGATCCCGAGGGCCATTATCACCGACAATGGGGCCCAGTTCAACAACGCCAAGTTTAAAGCTTACTGATTGTCGTATGGAATACAACTGAAGTTTAGCTCGGTGGCGCACCCCCAGACCAACGGGCAAGCCGAGGTAATGAATCGGGCGATTCTAGAGGGCCTCAGGAGGAGAGTCTCGGGCGTGCACGGAACCTGGGTAGACGAGCTGCCGAGCGTTCTATGGGCGATGCAGACAACCCCGAAGACGGCTTCAGGCGAATCCCCGTTCAGCCTTACATTCGAGACCGAAGCGGTCCTCCCGCCTGAAATGGTATTCCCAACTTTTCGCACCTCGGGTTACAAACAAGATGGTTCTAAGGAAGGCCTGAGAGCGCACTTAGACCTCCTTGAGGAAAGGAGGACCGAGGCCCACCTGTGCACCCTGGCCTATAAAAAGGCCGTGGCACGAATGTACAACCGAAGAGTCCGTCCCCGCCCAATCAAGATCAGAGATCTCGTCCTCCGCAAGGCAGAGGTAACCGACCGGACCCGGGCGGGAGGCAAGCTCGCACCCAACTGGGAGGGCCCATACAGGGTCTACGACATGGTCCGAGAAGGGACCTACTGACTCGAAACTATGGAAGGAAACCACTTACCAAGAACTTGGAACGCAGCAAACCTGAAGAAGTTCTATCCATAAAGAAAGATCAAACGAGGGCATGCATTATAAGGGGCTCACGCGACAATAGTCAGAACGAACTACTTTCAATATAAAAGATCTATACATGCAATGGGTAGGCGATACAGAGATCAAAGGCCGACCCGACCAA